CTGCTCATGCAGAGGACCTGGCCTCTATCCCAGCACCCACATGATGGCTCAGAGCCATCTATAACTACAGTTCTAGGTGACTATTCAGTGCCCTTCTTCTGACTTCCGAGGGCACCAGGTATGCATACTGAACACATACATACATGTAGACAGAATACTCATATACATATACTAAATCTAAAGGCAAGAAAAATGTGAATTCAATGAATTCCAGAGCCAACTCTGTTTTTCTATTCTTTTCTTTCATTGATTAGGAAAAAAAAAGTGTTGATTTTTCAGGAAATAAACCACTATCATTCCTGGTCACTAAAATACATAATAGGCTCACCACGAGCAGCTAGTTCTGATTCTTTCTTTTAGAAAACAGCTTTCCTGCTTCTCCACATCCAGTCATAGAGGAGTCTTACCATCACACTGAGGAGCATGCCACTTCTCAGCAGTCACTACATTTTCTTTCTTTCTGTACTCAACCCTGCCCTGGGCCAGGACAGAAGTACCTCTTGTGGATAGTTCATACAAACAGAACATGTAATTTGGGGTCTTTATGACTAGCTTCTTCTTAACATAGTGTTTTCTGCCACTGAGCCCTCACCCGTCATTGCTTTTATGACTGTGAAACTATCCCATTGTGTGGATAGGGCACATGATGCTCATGCATTTGTTAGTTCCTATATATTTGAATTGTTGAACTATTTCCATCTTTTGGCCATAGTGAACACTGTGGTGTATAAACTTCTGCATGTGTATCGTGTATATATCTTTAGTGCTTTCATAGCAATGGGGTAGAAAAGACCCCCTTAGGAGTATCATTTTTGGATCATATGATAAATCTATATTTAACTTTTACAGAACTACCAAACCGTTTTCCAAAGTGCCTACACAATTTTACATCCACACCTATCATATATGAGGCTTCCAATTTCTCAATGACCCTGTAAATGCTTGTTATATTTATCTTTAAAAAAACCCACAACTATCCTAGTGAGTATGAAGTGGTCCATCTGGTGGATTTGATTTGTATTTCTCTAATGACTTATGATGTTGGACATCTTTTATGCCACTATTGGTGACTTGTTTGTCTTCTTTGGAGAAATATCTATTCAAATCCATTGTATGTTTTTCAATTGTTCTTTTTATTGTTAAGTTGTATCAATTATATAAGAACTTATAATATTTTTCATACTATATGGATTATCTTTCTATTTATTTGAAGATATCATTTGTACTCTAAAATTTTTTACTTCTACTCTTGAGATAGGGTCTCATTCTGTACTCCGGGAAGGTCTTGAACTGGAAATCCTTCTACCTTAGAATCCCCAGGGCTAGGACTACAGGCCCATAGTACTATGGCCATTGACGTTTGTTATTTATTTATGATATTAGGGATTGAACCTAAGGCCTTGCATATTCTGAGTAAATGGTCTACCACAGAGCTGTACCTCAATCTTTTATTTTGAGGCAGGGTCTTGCTAAGTCGTAACTTGAATTACAAGTCTGTGCCATGGTGTATGGCAAATTTATTTTTTCTTTTGCTAGTTTTAGGGTGGCTTTTGTTGTTTGTTTGTTTTGGGTGTTCTAGCTAAGAAACTACTTTCTATCCCAAAGACATGAAGAGTTACTCCTAAATCATCTGCAGAAAGTCTTAGGGTGTTAGACTGAGGTCTTTGATTTGAGTTAACTTCAATATAAAATGTAAATTAAGAGTCAACATCATTCTTTTTCATATGATATCTAGTTATTCTAGTACTATATATAGAAGAGATATTGGTTTTCTTCAGTATCATCCTCAGTACCATGATGAATATCAAATGACCATGGACATCTAACTTTTTTCCTTTTTGTTTTTCTGGTAGGGATTGAACTCAGAGTCTTCTGCATGGTATTCAAGTACTATACCTCTGAGCAGTTTTCCTGGCCCTGTCTAGCTTTCTTTTATTGTTTTGAGATAGGGTCATGGTAAGTAGCTCAGGCTGGTTTGTAATTTGCTATAATAGCCTAGGCTAGCCTGGAACTCAATATGTATTCCAGGCAATTCTCAAGTCTAGCCTTCCTGCCTCTGCCTCCGGAGCACTGGGATTCTAGGAGTGTACCAACACCCCCAGCCTAGGTTTCTTTAACTTTCAGTTCTACTCCACTCATATGCCAGCAGCAGGTTGGTCTTATTACTGCAGTGTGTAGTCCTTCGGTTTCCTTCCAAGGACTGTTGTGGGTATTCTGCATCCCCTGCATTCTCACATGAATTTTAAGATCACGCCAATTTTTGGAAGGAAAATCAGGATTCACTAATGAATTCTATCAAACAGTTAAGGAAAAGGTAATACCAGTTATCAATAATGTTTTCCAGAAGGGAAAGGAAACCAAGAAAACACATCTCAGTTCATTTCATAAGGTCAGTATTATTATACTGATCACACAAAGACAACCACAAGAAAACCCACAGACAGATATCCCTTATAAATGTAGAAATACTCTACAAAATAACAGCAACAAGTATAAGTGAGATGATTAAATACCATAACCAAGCGGGACTTATCCCAGGAAAGTGTTTAGTTTAACATCTATAAATTAACAGAGTATACCATTTCACTAGCACCAAGAATTAAAACCAAATTATCACTTCACTAGATCTAGAAAAAGCATTTGACAAAATCCAGTACCATTCCAAGATACAAATACTCATTAGGAGTAGGATATATCCTTAGCCAGATAGAGGAGACCTACAAAACTCAGATCTAGCATTGCATTTAAAGGACAGGAGACTGTATACTTTCTTCATAAAATAGGAACAGACCAAAGATGCGTAAACACGCGTCACTTCTACTCAAGAATGTCAAGGAGGATCTAGCCAGGATAATTAGGCAAGAAAAAGAAAAGCAGGGCCAGCAAGATGGTTCAGCAGTTGCACACACGTGTTGGTGCTGCCAGGCTTAATATCTGAGCTCAATCCCTGGATTCCACTAAGTAGAGGGAGAAGCCCGACTCCCTCAGGTTGTCCTCTATCCTCTACACAAAACTGGAGGCATGCTCACACCCAAATAAAATGAAGTAAATGTAAAACATTAGAAACTGAACATGCATAATATTGTATATAGTAGCAAGAGTAAAATCAGAAAATCCTACTTATAATAGTATGGATAGAATAAAATATATGGGACTACATTTAAAAGTGGGAAAGGATATACTATGTAAATTATAAAATGTTGAAACTATAGTGCAAATAAACGGGGGAAGTTTTAATTCTTGAATACACGTTCTCAAAAGGCCTGGTTTCGCAGTCAGGGATGGTGCTTCCAGAACGTGGTGTATGTTGATTATGAAAAGATAAAGAAAATAGTTGATGCTTTGCTGATGTGGAAGATACCCTTTAGAAATGTATTCACTTCATATATTTTGGATGTTTAACTGCAACTAGCAAGAGGCTCTGCAATGCCTTTTTATACTTGTCTACCATTTTCTACAGAACTGTGCTTGTTGATCCTTCTGTAAATTTCCATGGTTGTTGTCAGGTCAGGAGAAAGCCACTTTCCTAGCTGTAACCGTGGCGTTGAAGAGCTCCCGCACCCAAGCATGTAGCGGTTACTGCCCAAGGCTGTCCTTAATAAGGTGCACTCATATTTTCAAACAAGGTACATTTTTTTCTATTTACTTCCAGTAGCAGCTGATCAAACCTCTTAAGCTGTTCTGGGAATGTGGTATTGGTACATCTATTGTTGCTTCATTAAATGATGCCATTTGTGTCATTATGGGTAATTTCTGTTTGAGAGGAGAGATGGCTACAAGGAGATCAGCAGCAGGGGGAGAACTCAACTGATTGGTCAGGGGTGAGCTGCACTAAAGAGAGAGGTAAGATGGCTTTCTCAGAAATTAGCAAAGGCCAATTTTCACTGTTATTTTCTCTTAAAAAGAATCCTTTGCCCATCTAATTCTAATGTGTAGTACCTTGCTCTCCTCTCTAGATAGTGCTCGAAGTCCTGTTTTTTTAGGCTTTGTCCTACATGCAAATCTACAAAGCTCATATGGTACCACACAAGACACAGAAAACAGAATTCACCGAAATCCCCCTTAGCGTCTGTGAATGTATAGACTAGTTATTATAAAACATCTGCATTTTACAAGTAGTAATACCAAGGTATGCTTTGTGATAGATGTGTTCCAGAAGAATCATGTGATAACTGATGACATCAGTCAAATCTTAAATTCATCAGGGATGTTAATTTAAGGCACTCAGTAGGGAAATCCAGTCATAGTGAAGGGTCCCTCTATAAAATGAATGCTTGTGGCCATAACTTTACATTTATCATGTGGCAAGTAGCACGTCAGTTTTTTTTCTAATTTCTAGACTTTTCTTAAGTTGGAATATGCCTGTATATGATTTTTAAGACAAAATCACCATTGGAACACACTTGCTTTCGTTTCCTATCTACTGGACATAAGGATTTAGAGAAGAGGACTCAGTGTTGTATGTATTAAAATTTTTCTTACTAATTTTCATACAATGTTCTTTCCCTCCCCCAACTCCTCCCAGCTCGTCCCCACCTCCTACCCATACAGTAAAGCATCTATGCCAGATAAGCCTTGTCCTCGTACTGTTTTTGTTCTGTACACAGATAATGATTACTGCTTCATGCATAATAAACATTTTCTGCAAGGTAAGGCGTGTAACAGCCATAATAACAAAACAAAACCCTGAAAATGAAAATAACCAACCCAGTAAGATACACACACACACCCCAAAAGACAAAAAACCAGACTCCATTTTGGGCTGGCCAGCTATTCTTGGGTCTGTCCTAGAGTATGGTTGATATGCCTAATGACACTCCATTAGAGGGAACTCGTTTTTCAGCTCCCAAAAGACATCTATTGCACATAGTTTCTTGGCGAGTGGCGGGACTTTGTGCTCACTTTTGCAGTGCTGGCACTTTATCTGGTTTAAACCTGTGCAGGTCTTGTGTGTGCTGTCATCCTTTAATCCCAGTACTCAGGAGGCAGAGGCAGTGGATCTCTGCAAGTCTCAGGCCAGTCTGGTCTACAGAACAAGCTCCAGGACAGCCAGAACTACATAGAGAGAACATGTCTCATCCCCTGCCCTCCAAGGATCTAGGGAAGGAAAAATAAGTGACTGCATCACTGTAAGGTAGGACTGGTTAATGTATTATATATTCCAATGTTTCCGTGTGTAATATCTGAGCCTTTCTATGCTATTTTCTATGGCTCATTCCTACCCCTCTTCACTACCTGCGGTCCCATTCGCATGGCTGTCAAATGCACAGCACTTGTGAAAACTGACTCAATGGCTTTTACAGATCAACTTTTAGTATTTACAACTGATTGTTTCCTCTCCCAAAGCGAATGAAAAACCAGAACTCCTTCTTTTACTTCATTTCACATTTATGTCCAGCAAGTTTTAGAGATGTTTATGTTCTATAAATGTAAGATAGAAACTGGGATAGGAACCAAGAACCTAAGTCTCTTTGCTTTAGTTTCTTTTCTGCCACAAAATTGCTAATCTAACCTACTGCTTTCAACAGGAATGTTAGCACAATATATTTAAAATATATTTATCAAACTAAAAAAGTATTACCTATTCTAATTATATACTTCATATTTTTCTTTAAATGAGACCCAAATTCTGATTTAATATAGCTAAATAAATCAGTTCTATGCACACCTGGTTCTCTCCGCACAAAATATGCATGTACACAAAACACAGGCACCTGATTATGGGAAATCAGAAATTAGGCCCACATAATGGATTTTCTTTTAACCACCCACTCGACATTTATAGTCCACTTTAAGGGCTCCATGCCTAGAATTGGCAGCTCTAGGAACAGTGAGATCAGTTTGTCTACAGTTGTTCCCAACCTTTTTTGGCTCTGGTACACCTACACTTGCTTCCAAAAATATACCCCACAGTCTGGTGCTCAATGGAATGAAAATCTTCCCTGAGCTAATAGAATATAAAACAGAGGAGGGAACAGACATAGCTCTGGATTTCCGGGTACTCCGTACAACACAGTGAGGCAAAGCAGCAGCAGAAAGGACATGATTGGTGCAGCACCCGGAGAAAAGGGGCTTTCAGCTGTTTCCCCTCAACTATTTTAGGATAGACTTACATACATTGATCTCCATCCACCAGATTGGTCTTCTTTGAGACTGAGGATATGGTTTTGAAGAGATGGCTAGCTAAAAAAAATGGTGTGGCCAGTAGTACCATTTGAGCATATGAAAACTAATGGGTTTATACAAGCTCAAAAAGCATGCTTTGGACCTTACCTGCAATATATTGTAACTACCTGAGTTAACTAGCTACAGATACTGCCTGGAAGAAAACCGATTTTTAATCAGAAACAAAAATGCAATCGAGGACATAGCACAGATAAATCATTCAGTCTCAGTGACCTGCCTTCAATATTGAGCCTATTCCAAGTTTTGGTCAATAAGAGGCAAAGATCCTTTATTTCTCTGGGCATTCAGAATTGTACATAATTTATACCACTGCTTTCAATAATTTTATTTCTTGAGAATTGAATCCCAACAATTTATGTCATAATTCATGTAATTAGCATGTATTTCTTAGAATGTTTTTTACTAAATTTTGATATTGTTTATCATAAAATTTCTTTGCTTTTGAGGGCAAACAGAAGTCTTTGAAGTTAACTAACGTTGCCTTCTTTACGAATATAAACGTATCTTGTAGTAAATTTACTACAGGGGAGTCCTGCAGGATATTAATAATAAGTATTTAGCACCCTCCATGATACTACTTACATCAGTAGGGCTTCAGCCTTCCTAATGCTACAAACCCTTTAATACAGTTCCTCATGCTGTGGTGACCCCAACGATAACATTATTGAAAACCACTGGCTTAGATGAAACCATCATAATCTCTTGCAGAGAATATGTTGGAGAGAGCCACGTGTCTGTCATTCCACCACAGCATCCTTCATCTGCTCTCACCTGTCTACAATACATCCTATATTGTTAGAAGATAAAAATGCCTTTGTGGTGAGCTGGAGAGATGGCTCAGTGTTGAGAGCACTGACTGCTCTTCCAGAGGTCTTAGGTTCAATTTTTAGTGGCTCACAATAGTCTGGAACTCTAGTCCTGGAGGCGGGTGGGAGATGATATGACGCCTTCTTCTGGTCTCTGTAGGTACTGCATGTACATGGTACATACATACAGCAAAATTAAAAACTTTAATTTTGTAAACTAAAATTGATAATCTTATCATCGCTATGCCATTAAAATATATCAGACAAGACCAGTTTTAAACTCCTCTCAATTTATGCCTTACTTTGATTTTTCCCCTAGTATCTAGAACAATTTAAGGAGCCATATCCCTTAATTCTAAAGTAGCACAGAAAACAAAGGTTTTTGGAATTCTAACCAAGGACAGTTAGGAAGTAAATGTAGCTTGCTGGCATCCCAAGTAAGTTAGTAATATCAATTATTTAAGAATCTGTGTGCATAATTAGGTTAAAATTTGAGGACATGGGTGTGTGTGTATGTGTGTGACTTTTACTTGGTGATAATGATGAAAGATGGAATTAGTGAAATATCCAAAGACAGGCTGCAGAAGAAGTGTGTGATGGGAAGCTGGGGCCACTGCTGCTCTGTGTGCCACCATCTGCCTCTTCCTCTAGAGTTCCGGGTTCTTTTTCCAGTTAAACAGAAATTCAGAATGAGAATTCTTACTATTTCAGACATTAGCAAAGTAAAAGGTCAATCTGTCACAGATACGGACTTTGTATCTACAATCTCCACTTAACTTTCCTGAGACAAGGTGATGACAGCATGAGCTTGCTGACTGTGGAGAACAGAAAGGCTTTCTCCAGAGTGAACACTGGATTTAAGAGATCACAAATGGAAAGCTATTCCCCCTCCCCTAGCAAGGAGCAGCTCCAGGAACTGTTGGGAATTAATGTTAAAATAGATGCCAAAGGAAAAATTAAATTAAAGAAAAAGATGCTAAAAACACAAAAGAAGAGTTGGATCTCTCCAGCTCCTTGAAAAATAGATAAATGAATAGATTAGAAAATAGATAAAATAAACTAAAAAAATATACCATATTAGTAATATGAGCAGTACTGGTGAAAACTGAAATTCATAAAAACCAAAGAAAGTTTGAGAAGCTTCCAAAGGCAAGAGGAGCCTGGGCATACATACTGACTAAATGTATGGTGGCCTGATTGGATCTTAGTACTGAAAGAGAAAGAATTCAAAGGCCAACTTAGCTGACATCTGAATAGACTATGGTAACATCTGTGCATCAGTATTGGCTCCTTAACTGTCACAAGTGTACCATGCTCATGTGACATACTGATAGCAGAGGAAACTGTGTGGGAAACTCTGTAAATACCTTCACATTTTTTCTAATAAGTAAAGTTTATTAGAAAATTCTATTTTTAGGTCATTTGAAATTATCCTATTAATGAAAAATCCCTAAAACTGAGGGTACAACTCAGAGGCCTAAATTGAGGGCAGTAAAAGACTTCAACCATGAGATGACAACAGGTCAAGGAGTCCACATCCCTTAGGAGGCCAGCACAGATAGCTCCAAACCCAGAACTGAGATCCCTTCAGAGACCGTCCATAGGGTCAATGATTATGAAGACAACAAAGCAGTCTGCTAAACTTTGCCCATCCCAAACAACTCTAAAGCACACTGTAGACAGCAGGCTTCTCAAGTAATGCAATCTCTGTGTGCAAAAGTAGAGCTAATGATTTCCATGGAATCAAACAAGCTCAGGAAGTAGGGCCTTTATCAGCTGTCACTGGTCCAGGAAGTGGAGTGTGGGGGGGGAAGGGGGAGGTACACAGGCCAGTCCAAGCAACCACCCAGCTTACTCCTATGGTCTGATGCTATCATTTACAAAAGTAAAGTAACAAACTCCATGACTCTTGCTCTTCTTGCCTAATGATTCTTTAAAAACAAAGTACCATGAATATAATCTTTATTAGTAGTTTATGAACTCTGAAGGATTATTTCTCAAGGGAAAGCAATCTGACCACAGTTAATTAGAAAAGCAGATTTCAAGGTGACAATATGCTGATTCTAAACATTCATCCTTCCATTCAAATCACAGATATTTATTAAAGACACACGAAAGAAATCAGTTCAGGAGAACACTCTGAACTGATGGAAGAGTTTGGATGACGACTGGACCAATAAAGAGAAAAGTGAATGAAGGTAAGAGAACATCCTTGCTTGACCTTGCGCTCCCTCTAGTGGTCTCTTGGTTAAAATGCAATGCTTATGTAACAGCTAGTCAATGTAAACTCAACTACACTCTGAAGGCTTATCTAACTTTAGGATTACACTAATCTCTTTTCCCTCTCCCCTCCTCTGTCCACCCCAGCCTCTCTCTTTCTTCCTCTCCCCACTCTCTCTATGTTCTGATCATTTCATTCAATCTGTTAAGAGATTGCCATTGATTCAGCCAACATATATCGAGAGCCTACCTTGATAAGGCATTAGCTAATGTTTACAGTTTAATTATTTTATGTTCTATTTTCTAAACATCGACAATCAATCATTTGATTGGTAACACCATGAGGAACACTCACCCAAAGGACTAGAAATCAGTATTTCCTACTTTTGTCTTTCTGCCATCTCTTTCAACTTTCACACTCATTTGTCCCTACAGACTTTTTTTATTGAAGATTTGCTATTTGCTGCATATAGTTCTAGGCAGTAAGCTACAGCTATAAGCAGGGAGGCCCCACTGAGAATGTGGTATGCAAGCTCCCTCCCAAAGGGAGTGAGGTGGCATTCTTTGGGCAAGGAAGAAATAGTAATGGCAAGGGCAAAGGCCTGAGGGTGAAGAAAGAGATGAATAGTGTACCAAGGGAGAGGATACAGGAGTATTTGATAAGGATGAACAGACCGCAGCATGGACATTTTTTGGTTTTACTCTACATGAAACAAGGAGACAGCCAGTCAATGCAGTGTTACAAGCAAAGGAGTGAGAGGATCTGATTTATGTCGTGAAAGGCTCACTGTGGCTGTTCTGCACAGAACAGATCAAAGGGACAAGGCTAGAAGCAAGAACTCTATCTGGGCAGCTGCTGCAATACAGCAAGAGAAATGTTAGTAGCTCGCACAGGGAGGAGGAATAAAGACACGACAGACTCTAGACATCTGAAGACACAATTACTTTCTTTTAAAAAAAAAGTATCTAAGAGATCAAATATGAATCGTGAACAGAAAGAGTCAAGAATGACCCCAACATGTTTGGCTTCATTGATCTCTTAGCCTTCTTGTCTTCCATGGTCCTAGCTCAGTAAGCTCTACTTCCATCATTCAGTGGCTTTTCTAAGACCAAAACACCAAACTAGTTCACGTTCCAGCCACAAAACAACTCCACAGGCCCAAGAACCAAGCAGTCAGATTTACCCCAGCAACGGCCCATGTCCTGGTACCAATCTTAGTTTCTTTTCCTGATGCTGTCATAAAATATGCTGACAAAAGCAACTGTAAAGGAAAAGGGCTTTATTTTAGCTTATAATTCCAGTTCAGCGTGGTGGGAAAGAAAGCCAAAGCACCAGGAGCTTCAAGCAGCTAGTCACATTACATCCAGTCAGAAGAGGAATGAATACACACTGCCTCTTAGTTCCTGTTCTCTATTCATATAGTCCAAGGTCCTCTGGGAATAGTTCTGTTCACAATTAAGATGGGTCTTCCTACATCTATTAATGTAACCAAGAAATGTCCCCTACACACAGGCATGCCAGAGGCACATCTCCCTGACAACTCTAGTTCCTGTCAAGTTGATTTAATGTTAAAATAGTAATCGTTACAGTACCTCTATATTTTTATGTGTAACTATATGTGTGGACAGTGCACATGAAGGCCCAAGGTTGACATCTGATAGCCTCCTCCTTGTTCTCCACACTGTTCACTGAGGTGGGGTTTCTTACTGAACACGGAGCTCACGGATACAGGCTACCATCTCTGCCTTCTGAGCACTAGTACTATAGGCAGGCTGCCACGCCTACTTAGCATTCACATGGATTCTGAGGCTCTGAACCTCTGTCCTCATGTTTTGGCAGCAAGTGTTTTATCCACTAAGCCATCACCTTAGCCTGCAGGTGCTTTTTGATTGCTGTTTCCAGTTTCAGCTGAAAACATTTTCTACCTACTTAGACAAGGAACTGGGTATTTTTGAAGTTCCTTTTTTTTTTTTTTTTTACCCGCAGCAGTCAACTAATTACCCAGGGGCATTTATTTAGTCATTGAGACAGGGTCTTACTACATATCCCAGGCTGTCACGTTTACGGCAATCTTCCTGCCTCTATCTCCAGGTACTGTAATGTTAGGCATGTGCCAACATGCCTGGCTGGTTCACCGAGTTCTACTGGCAATGCCTGCAAGACCGCTCTCCAGTACTGTCTTTCCTTTTCACATCTGCTGCTGCTCTCTTTGTTCATGCTTTTCATGACCTCTTCTCTGGCCACTGAACAGAACGCTATGATCTTTCTGCTTTCATCAGTAGGAATGGGCAGAGTGGTCCGGCAGCTCCAGGGTCAGGAGGTGGGTACAAAGGAAGGGACAGGGCCTAAGTCTTGGTACTTGGGCACACATATAACATTATTACTGAAACAGTGTCTGCTGCGGTCCACCAAACTATTTCTTGGTTAACAACTCTGCCAGTAAATCAGACAGTAGACCAGCTGTGAACCTGATAGAAATCTGGCCCTCTTCAGTGGTACAGCTGTTCTCTCAATATTCTATTAAAATAAACAAATAAATGGCCAAGACAGCAACTGCTCTCTCTTTCAGATTTTCATTCCTGGTGCTTACTACAGATGAACAATGAACTGCACCATAGACTAGTGAGAGGTAAGAGTGATCACAGAGGAAGGGCAGAGCTTAAAGGAGTAGTTCTGACGTAGGAAGGCAGTAGGTAGATGGCTAAATGTCACTTCAGGTATTTCTGGGGCCAAGTCCTGCAAGCTTGGGCCTAGAGGAATGGATCTCTGCTGAAAGGCAGTCAGGCTGCACTGCACGGCTGAAAAATCCAGTTAGCGGAACTCATATACAACTTAACAGCACACATTGTTTGGTGTGTCGTATGTACTGGCTACTGCTATTCTTTATATGCTATGTATATTATCCCTTCTGATCCATCTGCTCTGTGAGATAGGTACTATTGTCATCACCATTGATATGTGAGGAAACTGAGGAACGAAAGTCTAAGCTGCTCAAGGTCAGTATAGGAGGTGACATAGCTGCAATTTAAACCTAGACAGTGGCTTCAGAGTCCTTATGTTTAAGCCTCATGTTGATGGAAACCAACTGAATGTGCCCTTGACACTTACTTTTACACACGCACGCACACACACACGCACACACATACAAAGTTGTCTAGGAACTTCCCTGGACCGTTGATGCTTGCAGCAGGCATAAAAGCCATATGCTAGAGAAGAGTGCTGGGATGAGTTGTGAGTGATGGCTTCTAGAGTCTGACTGTCATGTTACGTGTACCTGCCAGCTCACAGCTGTGGGGAGGACCTCGCAGGTGAAGGAGGCAACAGCACCTAGGATGGACTAGGCAGTCAGTAAGGGGGGGGGTTCACCAGTAGTTTAAGGGAGTTGTAGATGGAGGAGAGAAAATCTTCAATGAAGTTGATTCTAACAGCATCCCAAAGGCCTGGAGGCTACCTTGGTCTGCTTTGTCTCAACTGGTAGAATCATAGAGACACACAAGAGGTTATAGACCATATGCAAGACAGGTAAAAGATTCTCAGGGCCCAGAGTTCTCAAACAGTGTTGAGCCTCAAAAGAAACAGGAGGGAAACTGGTTCCAAATGAGTATGTTTATGCTACAGCTCTCAAATGTCTGATTTAGGAATCCTCACTTGAGGAATAATGTGCAGGTGGTTTGCCGATACTCCATCAGGTCATATGCAAAGTGTGATTGGCTGTGTGGGCCTGTTAGAGGAGCAACCAGTGGGCACAGGCAAGCCCCAGGTCTAATAGAATGGTGCACCTAGGAACATAAACCTTTGGGCTGTACCACGATAGACTTGAATCTTTGTGTGCTACAACTGCTTGCTGTCTATGCTGTTGCTGGAGGTAAATGGCTAATTAGGCTGGAACCATTTCATTTGCCTCCTGATAATCCATGGTCTCCAAGTGTTCTCTTGCTGCCCCAGGATGTAATGGTCTGAGCTCTTAATACCAAGCTGTTGCTTTCCCTTTAAAGGAAGCACCTATCTAGCTTTCAAGTTGTCTTGATCACTAAGAACTCTAGTTATCATGGAGTAATAAACCTTTGTTGGAACCAGCTTCCTAAAGAATTGGTACAAGGGCAGGTATCAAAGTACTCAGGTCCTCCTGGGATAGGATAGTACCCCTACCCTGCAAGTTGATGATATTAGTCAAGATTGTAGGCTATCTTAACTACTTTTCAATTACTGTGACAAAACACGATTACTAATGTAACTTATAAAATAAAGCATTTAATTTGGGGCTCACAGCTCTGGAGGGTTAGTCGATGACCATCATGGTAGGGAGCACGGCAGGAAGCAGACACGGTGCTGCAACAGTAGCTGAGAGCTTACATCTGATCCACAAGCATAAGGCAGAAAGCCTAGGAGTTAGCCTGGGCTTTTGAAACCTCAACTCAAGGTCTGCACCTAAAGACACTCCTCTTCAAACAAGGCCACACCCCCTCCCCATTCCTAAATAGTTACACCAACTGAGGACCAAGTATTCAAATGTATCATCTAAACCATGACACAGACCAAAGTAGAAATAAATGAGGGCCTTAAGTTACTAGAAGGCCTTTTTTGTATGTGTGCTTGAGGACTAAATGGGTCTAAATCCTCTTTCTGTTCAGAGGAGAGAGAATGGTAAAGATGCACAGGTATCACAGAGCTGCTGATGTTTTCACTCACCCAGGAAACTTCATTTCACAAAGTTAACATCTAGCTCATGCAAACTCTGGTGCGCACGTACACACATACACACACACACACACACACACACACACACACACACACACACAAACACAAATGTAGCTCAGAGACACTCTTTTTATTCCTGAGGATCAGGCCTGTAAAATTGCTACAATAATCACTGCATTAGTACCTAGACCAGAGAACCTAGCATCACATTAGGAGAATTTATAAAACCACTGCCTAGAGAACTGCATGTATTTGAAGAGGGGGGCCAACATCTCATTTGCTAGAGGAAGGCGGGAGTGACTTCTCTCTTCATTACCTTTTATCTTTCTTGATCTAGATAAGGTCTGTGAAGGCCACAAAATTATGAATTGATTAGGCAGTTCCAGATCAATGGAAAGGATTTTCTGGATAGTGATTACACATTATATTGATGGAAAGACTCCACTTTTTTCTTCCAGAAAGCAGTTCAAGGCCAAGGTGAAGAGAGGGAGGATCTGATGAAATCTGCATCAAGGTACCGTCCAGAATTATGGTTTTATAGAAGGCCTTGGTGTGAAGCTCAGAGAGCTCGTTTGCTGCTAAAGCCTCAATATCAAGGCTGCTAAATTGTCACTATTGTTAATTATAGGATGGCTCGTAGGATACTCGTCGGTAGTATCTTTATCTGCTTCAAAGATGTGAGTCAGATTCTAGTAGAATGAGAGGTTGGTTGATAAAGGGAATTCTTTGTAACATTAGGCATGAAGTAGGAGGGTAGAGAGTTGCTGGTAGCTAAACCCTGAAATTAAACTCTGATATGGATAGTGTAATAGTCTAATTTCAGCCACAGGTAGTGTATACACAAAGGGAAATGTAATACCAGGCCTGCTTTCAGCTGCACAAGCAGTTAGACTTACTGGACCAAGGACTGAGAGGTTGCCTAAGATGCCTGAGTAGAATCTAGTGTGCATATGATACACGACTTTTATCCCTTATATGATGGGATCTTTGATATACTCTTCAATGCAATTATCACATTTAATCCTTATAATCCTATGAAGTAGATAATATTATTACCTGCAATTTATAAATGAGGATATGGAGGCACAACGCAGCTCAGATTGGCTCAGCATTCTTAGGTGCTGAGGTCAGAATAGATGGAACTTGGATTTGTTGTGATACAGTGTCTTCCCCAGTTTTGTACGGACCACAAGAACGTGCCTCATCCACTGGAGGATAGGGGAGAGTACCATAGGAACAAAGCACACCTCAGCTGGTTGTTCTTCTGATGGCCAGCTTGATAGTTTTGTCATGGAGAAGCTGGCCCCTTATCGACTGCATAAACATCAATAGGCCTGTCTGGCGGCTCACTGATTTCTATGGTAATGTGCTTATTCTGCAGGTGTCAGCATGAGAAAAGACTGAGTGACAAGGGACAAGGACGTGCCATCTATGGATGAAATAAGGTGTGTGACTTTGGTGGGGAGATGATGTGACATCCAGATCTCCTTTTCACACAGTTTTCTACATGTTGGTAAGGCCAGAGCTGAGGAGAGGCAGGTGGAGGAGGATGGTTGGCGGCTATGGTAAAAAGCTCTGTTGTATACAGCTCTTCAGGGAATTGGAACTATAGTACCGTCACTTTCATTCACTCCATCTGATGCATAAAATGATGAGGCTACTGGGACTCCCAACTCTTACAGTTTGAACTTAACTGGTTGGTAATATGAGCCAGAAGTCTCACTCTACAAAGCCTGGAGAGCTTGCCAAGCTTCTGGCTCTATCATTCACTGCCCCCAAGTGGAACACTTGGGAAACAACATCAGCCCGCACAATCAGCTAGACAGTGATCTCTTTCTTTCAAGAAAGGAGGCAAAGAGGCTGTGTGGCCAGGTATAAGCCAGAAGTGTCATGTAGTCAGAGGGCAGAAGTAAAAGATGGCTGAGCTGTCCGTGTGGGTTTTAAGTGCACTGTGAGATCAGGATGAAGGAAGGCATTGCAAGCTGAAGTGCAGAAGCAAACAGAGACAGGCACACCACCGAGGTGGAAGGGCGAGGATTGGCTGAAGGCACCGCCCCAATGTCAGTGTTGAGGAAGTTGAGTCACTATCTTGTGCCAGGTTCTAATAATCCTGGAATTGTTTGCAAGAGTAGGGCGAGTTCCATTTTAAGGAAATCTGGACGTGACAGAGTGACTTCCTAATGGATTGACTTCAAAAGAATCTAATGACTCAAAGAGGTCCATGGGCCGAGGATCTAGGAAGGCAAGAGTCACTATACACAGCAGCAGGCATCCTGGCAGGCCTCTTCTTTTGCTAGCAGGCAGTACACACACATTCCTGTCACACTCATCTGTGACTGCAGTCCAGGCAAGCCTTCAACTCCTGCCTCAGCCTCCCAAATAGCTGAGATTACTAGATTACTGTTTGTGCCGCCAGGGGTGACTTTCCCTGGCAAAATTGACCTGGTTCCACTGTGTGATTCTGATAAACATGAAGCCCTTCAGGAGTTTCCCACATCTCTGCCCCATCTTCCATCTCTGCCTACTTCACACATAGCTCCCAGTGCCACTGGCATGTAAGGCTCCCCAAGGACTCCCTCCCTGCTTTTGGGGTCCCTTTTTGGGATGTTGATTTTCACATCTTATTTTATGCTGCTCTGCCTCTGTAATGCTGCTGGAATACCCTTCCTCTACATCTTTGGCTGTCTGACCCAGCCTTTTTTACCGAACCCCCTTCCTGATCTTCACATCTCTGAAGTCTTGCTTCTCAACCATTTTTCTCTTTTTTGTGCCTGGTTCCCACTCAAGGATCTCTTTAAGATAGCTTTTCTTAATCATTTCCTCCTGCCATGAAATTTTAATATCATAGATACGCTGTACATCTGTTTATATACTGAGTCCCTTTGGAGGACTATAAATTATGATAACATTTAAAGTTATTTCACCTTCAGTAATGACCTTTTCCTCCTCTGGGACATCATCGCTTATATGGCAAATGTATGTAGAACAGGCTCAAATGTAGCTACTCCAGTATGTCTTTTGAGGCTCATTTTCACCCTTGGTTACTATGGTGAAAGTCATTGTTGAGACTATTCCCTCTCAAAATCCTATCATAGACTTTTCTTCCCCACCCCTCCCACTCTCTCTCTCTCTCACTCTCTCACTAGCTTTTTCTTCCCCCCCCCCTCTCTCTCTCTCTGTGTGTGTGTGTGTGTGTGTGTGTGTGTGTGTGTATTGTGAGCATGAAGTCCAAGTCTTCAGACATGTCAATCATGTGCTCTGCACTGAGATACACCTCAGTTTCCCTTTAATAACTGCCATTCCACAAGGGCCGGTATTTGCTGTATTTCCCACTATTCTATGCATTCTTTCCAGGGCAGTTGGTCTAGTTCCTTGTTTTTAATAACTGCCCATGATACTATTAAGTCAAAAGCTGTCATTCCATTGAAGATGACTCCCCTTAGCTCCAGCCTCTTGCTGTTATTATAAGGGTGGTCTATAGACTAGGGATGGGCAGCACTGCTGTGAGTTTCTGTCAATGTAGATTCCCAGGTTCTATCCCAGTCCTCTTGAACCAGAGTTTGCACTTTAACAAGCTCCCAAGATATTCTGTATGCACACTAAAGACAGAGAAGCCCAGGGTGGTGTCCTATTACCAACTCTCTAACAGATGTCAGTAAGATAGAAACCCATCAGTCCTTGCGTGCACTTGCCGATTCTCCAGATGCAGTCACCTACACACAAAGTCCATGCGACCCACCTCTTCTATGTCATTTATGACTAATTGGTCACCTTTCTATCTGCTCTACCACTAGATGCCCCTGACTGTGCTTCCTCTTCTGTGCTGATCACTACTGCTCTTATCTGTTCTTAGGTACATTAGCATGGCAAGCCCTAACCTGTGTGCCTGCCTGCAGCCTCTATTCCCTGATTCACCTGCCAGCCTCAGTTAGAATGGGTTTCTAAGATACAAGTCTGACAGAGATACATAGTCTTGGCTACATTCCTTTCAATAACTCTTCAGTGTCTTAAGTGGGGGTTCTTAGTCTAAGTGATGGTTCTTAGCCTGGATCCGGAACAGGTTTTAGGAAACTTTCTCAAACTATGAGGAAAATTTTGTGCTGTATACATTTTCCAAGGACAAAGAAACAGCTTTCATTGAATTTTCTGAGACGTTCAAGGACAAAGAGTTAAGAATCACTGGGGGAAAAAATGATCAAGCTTGACAGAGTCCGAGCTATTTAGTTTGGCATAGAAAGACCATTCCAATCGTTATCACTTCTGGCCACTTGTCTACAGAGTCCATGCTTTCAGGTTTAATAACAGTCTCGGCAGTCCCTGCAACTCTGCCATCTCCGTGCTTGTGCGCACACTTCCTGCAATAATCCTGGGGTGACACACACCTCCTATGTGGTAAAGCCTGGATTTATATCTAGCTCTTACTTCAGAGTTCATGGTCATTCCATTCTACAGTGGCATGACAGTTTGCATTATGACTTAGTACTCAAAAGTACAACCAACCCCTACCCGAAACAAGGTTCATGCAATTCTCATACATAGATCTCACATATATATTATAGATATCACACATATGATATATATAATTGTTACAGTCCACTAAGTTATTAAAATGCTCCATTAACGAGTTGCTGCACTATAAAAATAGTGCATATAAAAAATGCTGCACTAGTCCTTTGCTGATACAGGGAGTTTTCATTACCCAGAAGTAGTAATAGAAAGGTTTCGGGATTTCCTAGGATTTCAAAAGCTATCAATGTGTTTGATAGTGAACTGACCACTTACTGTCTGTCCCAACTCAAGCGGCCTTCTGAATTATGCACTAACACCCAGTCCATCCATCCATTCATTTCTGAGTCTCCTAGATCATCAGATATAACACCTAGCAACAAATTTATCACAGAGTAAAGTTACAAGCCATGTATAAAATGCAGGGTATCACGAAGTGAGCACACACACACACACAAACCCCATCAATATGGTAAGCTAATTCACAACTGAAAAGGAAGAAACTCAGCAAGGACCATGATTTTTCAGTGTAGGTCAGAAGGGACTATTGTGAATACTGAGTTGATTAAAGAGAAGCTCACAGGAAAACAGATACTCCTTGAATACCCTGGCCAAAATCAGCTCTTAAGAACCACGGTGCAAGAATCTCAGGAATTCAACACACTACCTTGAAATACCAGGCAATTTTGTCAAAAAAAAAAAAAAGATCCTAATAAAAAATACACCAATCCCTGGGATGTCATTTGTTAGGGAAACTAATATATAGTTTTACTCAGGACTCAGTTTTATGAAACTAGACAAAACAAACATATGATTCTCATTATTCCTCCTGGCATCCTAATTATCTACCTAAGAAGACTGTGCTCATTCATTATGCACTCTACAATCCTTCCATCTCCAAAAGATTTCTTCTTATGTGTGTGGGTGTTTTGCCTGCATGTGTCTGGAGCCAGTACAGGTCAGAAGAGGACATCATATCCTCTGTAACTGGAATTATGGACAGTTTTGGGCCATTATGTGGGTGCTGGAAACTGAACCTGGGTCCTCTACAAGAACAGCAATTACTCTTAATTGTTGAGCCATCATTCCAGCCCCACCTCCTTTTTAAAGATACAGTCTCAATATGTAGCTTAGGCTGATTTCAAACTTGCCATCCTCTTGCCACTGCTTCAAAATTCTGGGATTATAGGAAGGCACTGCCATGTCATGTTTTAGTATGTCTTTAAAATGGATTTGCTTAGTGACCGTTTGTCCAGTCTCACTTCCCTCGAATAATAAGAACCTCGTATATGCTTGTTTCCTTCCCATATGACATATAGCAAGAGCTTAATGTCTGTAAATGGAATGATTTCAATAGAATCTAATTCAATCAGCATATGGAAGAACTACCTGAGAAAATGTCCTATTCTTTAGTTTGAATCACAAAACTTTGTAATGTTGTCTGGACTTCTCTTCGGACTGACCATTTCACTACTTAGAGTTCTCCAGATGCACCATACTTTCCTGCTGCCATCAACCCTGCTAGGCAACTCCTATCCTTACCAAGTGAGAAAGCATGACTCCTTTCTCATTACATACTACCGTGCACATGACTACAAGCACACACACACTCACTATACCACATCATCATTGCCTCCCATGTATAGAAAAAAACATAAGTACAACAGGGAAAATAGAGGAAACAGAAAAAGATATGTGTATGTGCACACAAATTTTAAATGGCTTAAAAATGTGTATGTTATGTGAGTTTTAAATTTTACCTCATGCAGAAGTATATAAAATATATACCCATACTACATGTGCAAAGCCAACAATTTTTGCTGTACTTTAAGATTTTTTTCAATTGTACAAAAATCTTGCAGGAGTATAATCTAAGTGAATGAGTGTATGTTAGAGCTATCCACCCTTAA